TGTTCCATCTCCTTTCCCTTTGGGGTTGCTGTAGGTGATCTGGAAGTCTGTTTTTGAGGCTTGTTTATGTGTTTTCTCATTTCCACGCTGCGGGGGGTGGGGTGCTTCTGGCACCCACACAGCTCACCTTCTCTGCCCTAGCAGCTTGGGATGGCAGTGGGGAAGCTTCCTTCCAGATGCTGGGACCAGCTGAGCTTCACTGCCCTAGGAGCCTGGGATCTATTTATATATTTTTAAAAGCCATAGACTAAAATGAAACCTATGGAGATTTAATCGCATAATGTTCTACTTAGCACATTTAAACATGATCCAAACACATTAAGGCATACATTCAAGCCTGGACCTGTTCTCAAAGTAGATTTTTTAAAAATCCATTGCCACATGACACATGAATATTGGAATACTGAACCAGGATAGCTGGGATTTCTTTCATGCCCTGTGCTAGTGATGGTGAACCCGTTAGAGCCTTCAGTGATAAACAGCCCACTGTGGCACGTGTGCCACAGGTTCGTCACCTCTGCCCTATGCTTCCTAATTACCCATTAGTCTTGGAATCAAACAGGTGTGAGCAGAACCCCCATCACGTGAACCTGTGTCCTAATGTTCCTTATGACGAACATCAGAACGCATACTGAACACTGTCATCTGGCTTGTAATGATGTATTTTTTGAAACTATCTCTAAGCCTTTGTCTATAAGTGTTTTTTTTAAGGCTGAAAAGTGCTAGTTGCTGTGTTTAGAACCAGGATCCAGGGCTCTGGCTGCACCTTCGTGGTTAGCAAGGCCTGGTAGAAGGGTGGATCTCTTCCTGCTTTCTCCCTAAGTCCCTTTCACTTGGCTTCCACCTTGCATCTGGGATTTGTTTCCCGAGATGGCACTGGATGCTTAGCAGACTTGGTGCATCGCAGCATCGAAGTCAGCGCTCAGTGGGGCCCAGCTGGCTCTTCCTCCTGAGGCTCCTGGGGAGCTGTGGGACCCCCAAAGGGTGTGGCCCAGTGCTGCCCTCTGAGCAGGGCTTGGGTCTGTGCCTGTGGTCCTTGCCCTCTGACAGGACTCGTGCTGCTTCACTTGCCGCACCACTGCAAATTAGCAAATAATTATCTGTTTTTCAATTGTAATGGAATGGTGATTATTTACAGGGACTCTTCCATCGAGTAGTGCGTGAAGAAATCTCTCTGGAGGAACTTGTGAGAATGAAGCCAGAGGAACTGGTGTCTAAAGAGCTTTCCACGTGTAAAGACGGGCTGACAAAATCTGTGAGTACAGATGGCAAATGCTATCTTGAGTCCCTGAAGGCTCAATTGTTCAGAACTACCTGCTCCTTACAGGGGAATGTATTTTGTGCTTAGACCTCAGGGATTAAGCCTTTGGTTTTGTGTTTATCATTTTAAGGGATCAGATCCCAACATAAAGGGCAGAGTGACAGCAAGAATGGTACCGTGTGGGGCCAGGAATTTAGCTCAGTGGTTCTGCCACATGCCTCACAAGTGCAAGGTCCCGAGTTTGATCCCCAGTACCAAAAAAAAAAAGAACGGCACCATGAAGCCAGAAACCATTCCTGATGTGAGCTATCCTCCACCACTGCAAGATTGGGATGTGAGCACTGGAGATTTTAGTGACGGCAGGGAGAGTAAGATCAACCCCTTCCAAACGCTTCCAGGATCTGCAGTTGTGAGGCAAAACACTGAACTGAAAACAGGTGTATGTGGACGTCTAGCTGCAATGTTTGCCAGTGCCTGCAATCAGTGTGCCCTCTTTAGCGGTGATTCCTAATCTCATGAGACTGCGTCCTGTGTGCTGTCATTTGGACATGATTTGGCAAGGAAATGACCTGGTCATTTTTTCCTTCCCTTTGAGGAGCAGCAGGAGTCAATATGCACTGTACACACGAAGATCACAGTGCCTCTCCCTGATCCCCTTAGCAGCATGTTGGAGGATACGACAAGTCAGCACCGGGCCCACCTTTTTGATCTAAACTGTAAAATGTGTACAGGTGAGTGCAGTCTGGGATGAACTCTGGGAATCAAAGAACACTTGACTGTGTTTGAAATCGCTGATCTCCTGAAGGTGATTGTATTCAGGCCAAGATGAAACAGTCAAACAAAGAGGCAGGGGTGGTTTTCTGGAGTTTACCCTCCCTTCTTCCTGAGCTTCTGACTCCTGTAAGAAGTCACTACCTGCTCACCACAAGCTGTGAGGGTGGTGCTGGGTTTCTCACTGAGTCTGTCTTTGCATTGCTCAGGTCAGGTTCTGTCAGAAGATGAACCAGCTCCTAAAAAACAAAAACTATCACCTTCTGCCAAGAAATTAGACTTAACATCCAAGCCCAGAAGCGCTGCACCTGATCCAGTTCCTCACTTGTCTGAGGAAGGCTCTGCACTGACTCTGCCCAAAGATGCCTCTGAGCCACATCTGGAAAGGGCCTCTGGTCCAACGCCAGAGAGAAAGTATGTCCCTGGGCCTCCCGGGACAGTTGTGCAGGGCCCTCCCCACCGGAAGGCCCCTCCAGCTGCCCGGCCTCCTGTGGGGCTGGGGTGGTCACCACGGTCACGGTGTCAGACCAGGACCCTAGGACTGCTGTGGGCAGGTCCTGTACCCACCTGGACAGCACCCACATGCCTGCAGCCAACCCAGACCTGCTAAAGCCCAAACTGCCCTCTGTGACACTGCCCAAGTCCATACTTGCTAAGCCGTCCCTGTCCCCTGACCCCAGGCATCTGTCAGTTGTGCCATCACCAAGTGTCAGGTGGGTACATGAGAAGGGGTCGGAGCTGGCCAGGGTCCTGTTGTTTCTTTGAGATGAACAAGGGGAAGGAGGTGATGAAATACTTCAGGTCTGAAATTTACTCCAGAATCCAGCTTCACACCCTTGGGATCCAAATGCCCAGTTTTTAGGACACCTAACTACTATATTGAAGGCACAGATCTTGGAAACTGAAATTTGAAGTAATGTGACTGTCATGATTTGCTGATTTGCTTATTTTCCTTGTCCAAGTATCTAAACTATTAGGATTCAAATAGTTTCTTGCCCAAGGTAAATCAGCAAACGCACAGGGATTCACTTCTGCTTATGAATATGTTGTCTCCACCCTTTTATTATTCCCACTGCACAGAAAGATTGACAGTGCTTTCCTGTGGATTTCTTTCACAGCATTTCAGAGTCCTGGTCCCCCCGGATAGGAGGCAAGGCCCTGCCTTTGTCTCACCTCAGCAGCATTTGGAAAGGCCTCATTAACATGCAGAGCGTAGGCAAATTTGTCACCAAGGCGTGTCCTGTCTCTGGGAACTCTGTTTATCTCGGAGAGGTGAGAACCATGGATGTGTCTGTGCGTGCGTGCGTGTCTCCCAGGAGACCCCATGGGTGAGTGAAGCGTGGACACTGCCCACCCGTGTTCGCTGTGATGACACTAGCCATGGTGAGCTTGGCCGAGTAGCTGGTCGGTCCTCCTGGCTAAGGTGAATCTTCATTCTGTGCTCACAAAGCAGGACACACACATGGCATGGTGGCCCTGAGGGTGGCCCTACCAGGCACAGGGGACATCACAGCACTCTGGGCGCGGTAACTCCTAACCCTCGGTGGTGTTTAGCCATTCGCATCACATACAGGTGTTGCCGCTTTCCTGGAAATAGTTGTGGTTTTCTTGAGTTGGGAGGGTTTGTGCCTTAACATTTCCCTGTTATTCCCTCTGTAAATATCACAACTTCCCTGGTCATTTACTCCAAGTGCTTCCTGTTTAGGACTTGCCAGATACGATCCACATCGGTGGGAGGATTGCTCCGAAGACAGTGTGGGATTATGTCGGCAAGCTCAAGTCTTCTGTGTCTAAGGTATCTGCAGCCATAGCACGGCCTCCGCCCAGGGGCAGAGAGTTTCCGTCTGTCTTTCTATGCCCTCTCTTGATGGGCTAACACTTGAATCGTCAGCCTGGAACCCACTACACATAGAAAACACTGTGATTAAGTTGATGGAGACACTGGACCTCGGGGTGTTTGAATCTTATGCTGCTAGGAGTTTGCTTCTGATCTCATATAATAATGTGTGTGTTTGGCTTTAGTAAAAGCACACGCATCACGTCTCCTTTCTCGTGACGGCAGGAGAGGAGATGCTGAGGTGCTTGGGCTCAGTTGCTACCCTCAGCCCTTCAGCTGGCTTTGTTTCCTGGGAGCCCTGTGACTGAGCTGGGCTGGGGCTTGCGTCAGGCTCACAGGAGGGGACGATCCCCAGCCCTCCTGCCTAGTTCCCCCCCAGGGGCCCTTGAAGGTTCGAGGGATGTTTGTCGTGATCCCTGCGTGTGGAGTAGCAGCTTGCTTTGCGAGGGACACTGCGGGTTGTCCCTGCACACAGATCCCCTCACAGCCGCCAGAGCCCCGTGACACCCAGGCGGAGGGGAAGGAAGAAGGAGCTTGGTGCTGAAATCAAGATTCCACTCTGAAAGTCTGAAGCCTGAGCCCATGATTCCTTTGTGTTCTTTCCTTTCACACACTGAACCAGGAGACTGGGAAAGTCAGAATCAGAGTTACTGGGACTTCCTGTTTGGCAGTCCATCGGGGTTTAGGTGCAGCCTCCCCTGGGTGCTAGTTGTTGGCAGCCCCAGTGAAGGCTCTGCCCTGTGCTGTGTCTTGCAGGAGCTCTGTCTGATTCGCTTCCACCCTGCGACCTGGGAGGAGGAGGGCACCTACATATCTCTCTACTCCTACTTTCGCAGCTGCGGCCACTTTGGGGTTGTAGCGAACACCAACAGGCGGATCAAGGACCTCTACTTGATCCCACTGAGTGCTGGGGACCCCGTGCCACCCAGGCTCTTGCCCTTGGCGGGACCAGGTGAGTGCCCACCTCTGGGAGCTTGTTAGGCAGCTCTGGTCCCCAGTGCCCTCCCCACAGAGGCAGGATCCTGCTGGGACGTCATAGGGCAGACCTGCTGCACCCACCACAGCATGGAGAGCGGGCATGACAGGGCTTGCTGTCCTCTGCAATGCAGGGACAGAGCCCTCAGAGTACACTGATAGTGGGAAAACTGTCTCAGAAGTTTTAGGAGAGGGAGAGGGCACACTGCTCTTACTGAGTCTCAGATCCACCCAGCAGGTGAGGAGCAGCCACAGGGAAGGTAAAGGTGTGCTCACCTGGTGTCTGGGGCGCCCTGCTCTCCAGGTGGACAGTGCAGGATGAGCCTGGGTCATTGTGTGGCTGCTCCCCTCCTGGGGATCCTCTCACAGGGGTCAATTCCTGGGGACAGGTAACACAGTGATGGTGTCAAATAGCATCTCTCAAAGGATTACCTCAAATCTGCTGCTATCGTTTGCATAACATCTTGCATTTTTGGCCAGCTACCTTGTGCTTGCTCATTCCTGCAGAAAGTACAGTTTAAAGCATTATTTATGATTATCTTAAAGCACATTCCAACCTTGTCCTGGGTTGGGGTGATTCAAGGTAGTTCCGGTCCCTTGGAGTGGAGCTGTTCTTAGCCCCGGGGAAATGACTCCAACTTAGGGCCTGAACAGAAGTGGCTCCTTGGCCACGATGTCCCCAGAGAACTGGTTTTACCTTAAAACCAATGTGTGTCACGTGATGAATGACCTTTAAAGTGGTCTCTGCTAGAGGTGGTGGCTAACAGGAGCACTTGTGTACAACCTGGATCAGTAATGGCGAACTTTTTAGAGTTTTCAGTGATACAAACAGCCTGCTGTGGCACGCATGCCATAGGTTTGCCACCACTGACCTAGACCCTGCACCTCAGTGCTTTGGTCCTTGTCACCAGGTCTCAGAAGAGCTCCTGCTGCAGCTAGGCAGAGTTCTCAGAACTCCACATGCCACTAACGCTGCCCCACTCCAGCCGGGACCCTGTGGGTGCAAGAGCCTTTCCTGATAGTGTGCAGAGGAGCAGGTGGTGGGACATCCCCTCGTGCTTCTTAGAAGGCGTGAGCTCCACCCAGAGGGCCGGAACCGGGGTGCTTCCTCGAGGGAACAAGTGTGCTCTTCGGTCCCTGGGCCTATTTGTCCCGCCCCGGAAGGAAGCGTCTTCAGAGCATCATGCAGTCACCCCCTCCTGGGAAGATGGGTGCACAGGGGGTGCTCTTGGTGAGGGCCTCCCCGCTCAGGGCTGAGTGTGCAGCACACAGTTGTCTTTCTAGGGCCCTGTGCCATGTTGCTTCTCCTTGTCTGAGCTGTGGCCAAACTCCTGAGGGATTCTGTGGTCTTGCTGCTGCCCTAGCCCTCACCCGAACCCACAGTGGTAGCTGGAAAGGTGGGATTCACAGGCTTGTTTTTCTGATTGCCCAAGGCTTGGAATTGTTTTGCAGTTACTTCTGCTTGAGAAAAAGCCTGGAGATGCTCAGGCCCTGAGTCCAGTGTGCTGCTCTTTTTACTAAATGATGCAGTGGGCTCAGTGTTTCTGTTAATTGTGGACTAAATGGGCACCAGTGTCCCCACCGTGCCAAGTCTGCATTGTTTCGGTGGAGTTGGGTGGGAAAGCCTGACCAATTTGTACCAGCAGAGGGCATCTCTTTTGCATTGCTTGACCAGATAACCCCAAGCCCCTGACAGACAGCCCAGGTCCCTGCAACTTGGAGGTATTGGCGGCTCATCCTTTCCTTCAGAGTTGCGTTACTATCATGGCTGATGCCTCCTCTAGGTCTGGAAAACACTCAGAGGTTCACATTACATCAAGAACGTAGTGAAGTGTCGACACTGGGTTTGGTGTCCATGGCGCCATGTCCGCCAGCACCATCCCAGGGCACAGTCACTCCATGCAGACCCCTGGAGAACATGGAGAGCCCATTGTCCTTCCCGGGGAAAGCAAATGGTTCCTGACTTCCTTCAGCAATAGAGATACTGAAGAAAAAAAAAAAAACCCACTTGTTAAATCTACTGCAACATGATGAGTACCAGGCTCTCCAGTTTGAGCCAAGATATACACTGTGTCAGGCACAGCACAAATGATGCCGGTGTCATTTATTTAATTCTCAATAATAGACATGCATACGCCAACTTCCTGCAGACTTCCACTCCAGCCAGATCAGGCTGTTAAAGGACCAAGAGTGGGCTTAAGTGTTTACCTCAGCCCATTTCTAAAGGACATCTGTTATCTCCCAGTCACATCTTGGCACACCATTCGTGAGGGACAAGGCCACTTCACAGGTGTGCACTTAGCCATTACTCCCCTTGCATCCTTCATTGTTCGTACTCAGTCACCCTTCAGCTGTATTTTACAAGGTCAAGCCCATTACTGTTTTCATTTTGAATATATATTGGAGGCTTTGGAGCTGTATGTGCCAGGTATTTCTTTGGGGTAAGATGACCTGTCTGCACAGGAAGAGGTGTGTGCAGCCCTCTTTCTTATTTCCTCCATCTCCATCCCTCTATGCCGTCTGTCTGTCCACTACAGGCATTACCGTGAACACCAGTGCACCTAGCACCTGTGTCTCCTCATGCCTACAAAGGGTGCTTATTTCCTACTGTGCAGGACATTGTTATTTTTGCATGTAGCCTCAATTCTCCTGCTACAGCCTGTATGGAGAAAGTTGGGCCACGCTATTCAGGAGACCTTGCCTTGCCCTGGTCCAGGGGACTGATGTGTTCCCACACAGGAGAAGAGGGCAGGTTTGCAGGGTCCCTGCTTTTGAAATGCCCAGAAAAGCACTGTTTACATTTTGGCTTTAGTCTCTCTTTTGGTATCCTTGATTTATTATGAATATAGGGACCATTCATGCAATACGCATGTTCCTGATCTGTGTTACATCAACTTAGAATATGTGCAATGATACTATTTCAAGCAATAATTATCTTTAAATACCTTTAGCTAAACTTCCTCCTCTGTCTCCTCCCCGTGATGTGCTCTTATCCACCAGTTTCTGATGCCTCCATGCTTTGGGTAAGCACTCTAATTCTAAAGACTGGAGTATCAAGTAGAGCTCTTCATAAGTTAGAGGTCTCTGAACTTTTTCCTACCCATATAGTATTCCACCACTGAGACAGCTCTGTTTTCTCCAGTGATTGTAATTCTGACACCAGGTACTGGTGACTTTTCTACATGGCTTGTGTTTCATTGGTCACTATAATGACTTGGAATTGCCCTTCCTTAAACATTTACTTTAATATGTTCAGCCTAACTCATATGTTGCAGTTCCTACACAAAAGGCCACAGTGGCTGTTCCCTCTTGGCACATGGAAAGAAGAAAATGAAGAACCCAGTTAAGCTTTTTCCCCCCCACAACACCCTAGTACAGGACTGGGGATGTGGCTTGAAGGATGAGCATTTGCATGGCCTCTGTGAGGTCCTGGATTTAATGCCCTGTACAGAAAAAAGGGGATCCTTTACTTACATCCCTGTGACCTCCCTAACAATGACAGATGTCCGCACATGGCCTCTGCCCACCGCCTCTGCACTGCTGCTGGAGCTTTATCCAGAGCTTTTAAAACATAAAGCATTCTTACTAATGTTGGGGTGAGCTGGGCTGAGAATCGAGTCCTCGTGGTTCTGACTAGGGAGTACATGTCACCCATCCTTTCAGGCCACTGCTGTCGCCACAGAGGCCATGCTGGTGGGTTCCGGGACTGAACTACCTGATCTTTTGCAATCAGCTGCTCAACTGTTGATTTGCTTTTGCCCCAGAATCTCTTCCTCTCCGTATTAAAAACTCCCCACCCAACTCCTTAGAACATTTTTTTTTTTGTACCGGGGATTGAACTTGGGTCCTTGCCCTTGCACAGCAGGCGGTGAAACCACTGAACTAAATCCCCAGCCCCAGTAACATTTATTTTTGAAGGCTGAAACCTAGACTTTGATTTTAAACTTGTACTAATACCTTGTTTTTCAGGCCTTGAGTCCCCACGTCCAAATTTGCTCCTTGGGTTGGTCATCAGTGAGAAACAGAAACGTCTGCCAGACACTGGGGAGCTGGACAAGATGAGGGAGAAGCAGACCCCCCTGGATGCGCCAGGCTGTCCCAGCCTCCCTGCAGCCCCTCAGCCCAAGAGGAAGCCCCCCAAGAGCCAGCTGTGCTCTGCAGCTGAGGGGTCCCCACCACCTCTGCTGCCTCTTCCTGAGCCCCCTGTGTTGAAAACACTGTCGTCCCTCCTCCCTGTGGCCACCTGCAGTGTCACCACTCCCACTACAGCAGTACCAGTGCCCCTGGCAGCCTCACCTGTCACTTTGAGGCCTTCAGACCCAGCCTCACCACTACACTTCATCCTGCGGACTCTCTTTAAAGGGACTTCTTTCCAGGCCCCTCCCCAGGACCCTGCAGGCCTGACTCCAACTCCCCAGCAGGACCGAAAAGCCCAGGCCCAGGAAGGGGCATCAGGAGTGCTGCTCCTCGATCCCATTGTTCAGCAATTTGGCCACTTCATGGACAGTGGCCCCCAGGAGGAGGAGGAGGAGGATGACAGGCTTTATAACCCAGAGGAAGGGTACAACATGCAGCCAGCCTTCGACCCCTGGCTTGCTGAGAGGGGGAAGTGGCAGGATGGGGGAAAGGCCCTGGACGCTTCGGAGGAGGCAGCGGTGGCCTACGACCCGGAAGACGAGACCTTTCTGGAGGCGGCCAACGTGACCGTCGCTGACCTGCCCAACGTGATGTGTGCAGATCTCCGGGAGAGGCCCGGAGAACACACCAGATACTGGCCCCCTCCTGCTTGGGGGCATCAGAGAATTTGGGAGGACTTAAAGTCATCACTGGCCAAAGCGGAGCTGCTTCCCCAGGAGCACCGGGCCCTAGACCAGAGTCAGGGAGCCCTTGGCACAAACCATACCTCCTACTCAGGGCTCAGTAGAGACCCCCAGCAGGCCAGGCACCTAGGTGAGAGCAGCAGGTATGAGGCCCTCGCCAGAGCACCATGGTGGTAGGAACGTCTCGTGAGGGGTGGCGGCTCTGAGGGAGGCCCTGCAGGCAGGGAAGACAAAGCCACATCCAGAGTTTGTGCCCCCCACCACCCTGTGTCTGGCTGCCCTGCCGAGTGACGCCACGGGCTCGGGGAAGGAGGGGAGAGGTGCTGCTTAGTGAGGGCACAGTGGGACAGCCAGCATGGGCCTCCCCTCCAGCAGTGCCCAGACCCTGCCTGCTGACCTCCCAAGGGCCAAACAAGGAGCCTGCTTTCTCTGGGGCTGGACGTTCGGGTCTCACATTTACTCTGCAGCCAGGTCCTGGAGGTGACTGGTCCTGCAGGTTTGGTCCCCATGTGTGGGTTCAATGCTCATCAGATAGACGGGGGAGCCTGGTCCCCTCTAGCCTCACTCTGGGGCTCAGGAAGCCCCTGCCTGAGAGGAAGGGGCTTCACTGGATGCCGGGCCTCCCGGGGCCACACTCTGGAGCACATAGCAATAAATTTGTTGTTTGTAAGTTATGCAGTCTAATGTATTTTGTCATAGCAGCCTATGGCACTGCTGAATTTTATTGGAATTGATATATCAGTTTGGGACTAAGCGACTTCTTAATCCTATAGCTCTTACCCCTCCATAAACTTGGCATGTCTGCCCATCTGGATGTCTTTTTATATTCCTCTCCACGTGGCTTGTGGCTTTTTATTGCTCTTGTCTTTCACGTCTTCTGCTAACCTAGCACAGTCATGTGCTGCTGGTGTCATTTCTGCCTCGGATGGACAGTGTGTGCGACGGTAGTTGTGTGGGTTATAACAAAGCTGAAAACATCCCACTTAGAGATGGTCTGTTACTGGTCTGTAAAAATACAGTTGAATTTTTCAATCTTTGCTGTGGAATACTAATAGAGTTAGAGGAATCTCTAAGTCATGCAGAGTGATGCAGGCCTGTGATCCCAGCACTGTGGGATTCGGAGGCAGGAGCATCACAGGTCAGAGCCCAGCCTGGGCAATTTAAAAAACACCTGTCACTAAATTTTTTTAAAAAGCGCTGAGGATGTAGTTTAGGGCAAAGACCCCTGGTTCAATCCCCTGTGCTATACAAAAGAAAAGAGAAGAAGGAAAAAGAAAGAAGTGAAAACAGTGAGCAGGCTCCCGTGGCCTCTGAGCTGTCCACCAGTGCTGTATTTTCCATAGCTGCAGTGAATCTGGGAACCCGGAACTGACTTGGCCACATACGTGTGTCCAGCCTGTGCCACCTGTCACATACGTGCAATCAGGCAGCCGCCACCACCCTCAGGCACAGCTGCCTGCCTGCCGCCCCAGCCAGCCATGCCCCTGTCCCTACGAGGCTGTCCCTTCCGTACCTCTGTCACTCGGATCTGGGAGAAGAGCGTCGTCCAGCCCTGGGGAGACTGAGCATCAGGATCGCGGGACGGGCAGCAGGAGGGGGCCTAGCAGGAAGGGGACAGGCCATGGAGGGAACAGAGAGGGGGCTGAAAAGGGGATGGGCCCGGGCTGCCCCGGGCACCACTGGCACTCCACGGGTCCCCAGGACTTTGTGGGCGTGGTCAGCACGGTGGGGCGGGGCCTCAGCACAGCTGCTGAGGCTCCGAAGGCTCAGGGCAGCCCTCTGTGGGTGGTGGTCACCAGCTGGGCTGGAGCTGGAGTCCACCTGGGAGGGGTAACAGGGATGGGGATTTGGCTGTCCTCAGAGGGAAGGCAGCCCTCGCCTGCCCCTGGCCATCCCTGGTGTTGTGACACGACTTGTAGGCCTGACCAGGGGCGGGGGTGTGGCCCTAGGGCAGGACCTCTGAGGGCGTCTGTCACACAGCAGAGCCAGCAGGTAACCGCTGGGCGCACTGGGCGGGGCGCTGGGGTTGCAGGCGCAGTGCGCGGCTCTCAGACGTTTCCACCCTAAATCTGCTGCTCGCGGTGTCAGCTCCGTTCTCTCTGAACGTCCGCCTCCTCGCCTGGATCCGCTCCCGCGTCCCACCGGGTTTCGTCCCGCGTGTGTCCCCACGGCGTCTGCCCCAGCCCGTGTGCGCTTCTTCTCTGTTCCTGCCGGGCACGCCAGTATGAGAGCCGTGTGGAGCACTGATAGCTCAGTCCAGCTCGCCCTTCAGCACGAAGATGCTGCTAAGGCCCAGGATGGAGACGTGAGTTCATTCCATTGCCTCCTCCAGGAGGAGGTGCTCCCTCCACGCCAGATATTCCTGCGGCCCTGGGAGCACCAGTAGGTGAGTCAGGTGCTGCGGTGTCCGTTCAGGGCCCGAAGCTCATCCTTGCTGTCCAGGTCTCCCGCCCCAGACCTTAGCCAGCAGAGCCCCTTTCACCTCCTGCCTGTGCTGTTAGGTTCTAGCGAGCGTGGCATACACCGATGTCCATCAGAGTCTCGTGTCCGGCTGAGTCTGAAACTCTGGGGCCATGTTTCCTAGACATTTGGTCACAAAAATTTGTAATGTCCAGTTAAGTACTGCATGTCTCAGAGTTACAAATTTAACTAAATCAGTTAAGAGTATTTAGTAAGTAAATAGCTATTGGAGTGAAAAATGTACTCTTACTTATAATACTGTGCAGTCATGTCCACAAGTAAATGAAATTGATAGTGCGATGTTCTGTGAATTTCCCCTGGAGATGTAAAACAAATGACTGCTCATAATTGCAAAGGTGCCGACCAAAAGAAGAAGAAGAGGAGCAGGAGGAGGA